TGTTGGGGACGCAGTTTGTTATGAAAACCGCATCTGGCCGAGGCGTTTTACTTGAACCCATGGGGTCGGGCTGGTTTTGATGCAAACTGCCGCCCCCCTTTGCGGTTTGGGTTGAATTGTTTTTCTTCGATCAACACCTAACTTAAGCCGAAACTTCAAACGAACGTAACTTTGTGCTCGGGTATCCGATCGTAATTTTTATTCCACATAACTTTTGCGGCTTGCAAGATCTCGAAAAGTTATACGGAATAAAAAAAACTGCTACAATCGGATACCCGAGCACAAAGTTACGTCCGTTTGAACTTTCGACTTTCGTTAGGCGTTGATAAAAAAAGTCAACCCAAACCGCAAGGGGGGAAGCAGTTTTGGACCAAACCGCCCCGACCCTATGCTATCAATAAAATCTCCCCCAACCCATGCGATTTTTAGCGAAAATCGCGCCCTCATCCAACTGTTTGAGAAAGGTGGTATTTTTGGAATTTTTTGGAAATGGGTGATATTTTTGTTCTTTTTAGTGGTATTTCTGAAAAAAATTCCACTTTTAAATAGCACTGGACCGAATATCTAAAATCGAAATAATCATGAGTACTATACTAGCTTTGGACCCAAAGATGAGATGGGCAGTGGTCCGGAGAGTCCCTCCCTGAAATTCGCCACTGCCCACCGGGCGAGTGGATTTTACCATAAAATGGACGCACCCGCGTTTAAACGGGTTGACAATTTTTAACCCACCACCCACCCACATTTAGTCTCGGGTTGGGTCGGGTGAATGGCGGATGATGCAGGTGGGTTTGCAGGTTCACCCACATCACATTGTACATAATATAAAAGAGTCAACTTGACATGATCCATTTATATTTTAGAACCCTTGTGTAATGTCAATATGTAAAATAAAAATTCATTTCAACCAATGCAGTCAAAAGCGCGATTCTAACTAAAAGCGGAAAAGGGGTAAAATCGTAAAACGTAGAATCAAAACGTAAAAGCGTAAATTTTTTACGCATATTGTAAAATAACTAAAAATGTGTTAAGTACGACATATACTATGTAAAATGTGAGTGCACGGAATTTAGATAAGTTAATAGATACTTGCAATTCTTGTCTAAAGTAGAGCAACCCATAGTATCATAACAATAAGTCATAAACATGGATCTTAACAATAAGCCACCTTCCCTTCTATGCTAATGAATTTGGGAAGGGCCTAGCTGCTGAATTAGATTACTTTATTGAAGCTGAGAATGCATCCAAGTACCTGGTATGTATCTCTTAATCTCAAATGTATCATATTGTTGGTAATTTACCCTTAAAATATACTTTTTATAATTAATTTCATGAAAAAAATACCCATTTAGTGAACTAAAAGTTTAAAATCGTAAAGCTTTTTGGTACGCTTTTAAGCTTTAAAACGCAATTTAGTACGATTTTATGCACTAAAGTTTTTATATGGAAACTGATGCAATATCGACTTGCACAATATTTAATGCCCGCGATCCAAAAATTCATATTCAGATTCAGATTCGACGATTTAAGGATCAATTAGGAGTATTCTTGAATGATAAAATAGTGGCAAGCTCAAGCAAGCTCAAGCAAGCTCCTCAATTTACGTAACCCTACAGATTATTCGGGTGTTATTTATTCATTGAAGTTTAAATGCTTGGTAAAGGTTAATTCATGTGTATGGTTGGTTGGTTGATTTGGTTGCTTAATTAAAGGAGAAGCCACGTGAGTTAATTGAAGGAAAGACAGAATTAGTGTTGCACCGCAAACAAGAAGCCAGCTGAAGACAAGTGGGTTTCCGGAAATGAGAAGGATTCCGCGGTGCCAAGGAAAATAGCCGGAGAAGCTTGCTCGTGCTGCAGCACGTGCTATTTTGGAGTTTTTGTTTTGGTAATATAGAAGTCTAATTAGGGGGAAATTGAGACATTTTTTACCAGTATATACCATATGGTATTAATTAGTATTGAAATAATAGCATATTTATGGTTTGAAAAGCGTATCATGGTGGTATGAACAAACCAAAATTGTAGGATGGTTGAATACATGATAGTAGAAGTATATTAACTGTCATTTACGACTTTTAACATTGTGTACCACAGAATACCACTTTTAACATTGTGTACCACAGAATACCACCCCGTACCAGGGTGGTATTGTATGGTATTGTGTGGTATTTTTTGGTCCTGTAATTTGTTTACCTAGAAATTTGTAGATCCAATAGATCATATGATGAACTCGTCCCTTCTTTGCAAACGTTTTCAAAAACGAACTAAATACGAAGAAGATACCATATGGTATGCAGTTGGTACCGAGAGGCAAGATTTTTTTTTTCTAAAAAAATATTGAAAATAGATCTCATTTTGTAGAGCACGATAAACTCGTTCCATCTGTGCAACAAAAAAAAAACGAGTTAAAACGAAGAAGATATGAGCCGATTAAGAAAGCTAAGAAAAATAAAAATGACCTTTAATTCTCCATCCTTAGATCTGGATTTTCTAAATGAAGGGTCCACAAAATACCAGTACAAAATCCGATACTGGTATTTTGTGGTTGAACCACCAGTACGATATGGTTTCATGGACTATGCTAATTAGTAGTTTTAGTTATTATTTAATATTAGTATTATGTTTCCTACTTAGTTTGGAATTTGTTTTCATATTCCTGGAAGGTTAGATTTATGCTTTTGAGATCTCTATAAATAGAGGGTGTAAGAGCTATGAATTTTGTACCCAATATTCAAGTTATCAATTAAGAGTTTTTACTCGTGTTCCTTTGTGAACGTTTGAGCAAGCTTCTGTCTAGGATTCCAGGAGATTGTACGTGTATCTTATCAAATAGAGAACGCGTCTAGTTGTGGCGAGCATCTACCCTATATCAATTTCCCCTTTTCACGAGTTGATTATGTCCGATTGGTTTAATATACCAATTGCCCTTTGTCACGAGTTGGGATTGCCCAATTGATTCCACATCTATCTTTTATTTCAAATTATTCAAGTTGGAGAAAAGCTTCGAAAATCCTTCAAAAGAAGGAAGGCTGCGTACTTTGGTCATATCATCCGAGTTCGAGAGTTCTTTTCGGATTTGGATCATATCAGAAAGCGTTTTGGTGGCCTAAAAACGTAAAGCCGTAAGTTTTTAAGTTTTAAAGCGTGATTTTGACTGCATCGATTTCAACATCCATTCACCCTCCAATTTTGTTTCACTTCGAGTGGCAAGAATTGGTGGAGAGTTAACAAGCATAAACAAGAAGATGGAATGGGAAGAAAAAATGTCGAATTAGTTCTGAAATTGGATAGAAATTCTATTAAGGGGTAGTTTTCTACGGATAGAGATGATTATCGGGTGTAGGAAACTAAGAAAAATAATTCAATGAAGGAAAGACAGGTGATTTGGGCACAAGAATTAGAGAAAAAATAAAGGAAAGAAGAGGGAAGTCGAGATTTGGAAGATTGGGCTTTGAGATTCAATCTCTAGAACTAGCCTAGTTTTCATCAGCGTCTCCACTCTCCACTCTGCAGCACTAACGACTTTATTCTTTTTGTTGTTAGGTTGAGCGGGTCACCTACGCACCCGCTCACGACTCAACCGCCACTCGGCGGATGCCTTCCAGCACAACCAGTCACCCACCACATAACAAAATTCAGCTAAATACAGGCAGATCGGCCCAAACCCGCATGGCCAGCCCTAGTCCTCGTAACATCTATGTTGTGAGAGGTTTATTTTTCGAATCACTTTAATTATGTTTGTCTTGTCTCCTGTATGGAGTAGTTGTCCAATTTGAAGCTGGTAATGCAAGGACAAGACACAAGAGGTATCCAGTCAACTATTCTAATTAAGCTGATCAGCCGCAAATAATGGGGGAAAATCTGCCGAAACGAAACAAACTTATCTAGTTTTAGTGGGATGGATCGATCGAGCAGAGGAAAGAAATCTCTATCCTTTTCCATCTTTTCAGTAAAGGAGAAGATTCATCCATTCATCATTCGACCCCAATACTGCACTGCAGGACCAATCGAACTAAAGAAAGAAAACCCCAAGGGGCAAAGAGAATCTGTTTCTAGTAAGAATACCAGTTGTGGGCGATTATCCTGAACAGGACAGGACTCCCAGTGGCAGTAGTGGTCACGTCCACTGAGGATGCCAGGTGGACCCCACGTGGCACTTATCCATTAACATCGTATGTGTCTATGCGCTTCGGTTGGAGAAACAGATAGATTCTGATGCTGATGCTGTCACTGTCTGTCTGTCACTGCTGCTGCTGAATGAGTGCAACTGTGTGTGTTAAGATACTTTGGGGATGGATTAGTCGTCTCCTTGGGTCACCCACCGAAGGCAACATGTCTGGATTTATCAAGAATATTATAACCATGGCTGCTCTGGTAGTAAGTAGCCATTAATGGAGCACAATTACTGGAACCATAATCGAAACTAATTTCGGCATAGAGAATAAGAAATCCCTATCATATCTTTGATATCATCTGCCTTTTGCACCCATTGGTGGAGAAAGTCCAAAGAGATCTTTTGCACAATTATTTCCTAGAATCTGAATTTTTGCCACTTTTTTCCAGAGAGAGCAGGGTGTGGCGAGTTCCGTATAGTTTAGAAGGGAGGGGACTACATAAAAGGCTATAATACGAGTAGTGGTGTCTTAAAGAAATATTGAAAATATAGGAGCTATAAGTCTCCTTTCTTTCAAGATGTTAACTTTGAACCATACAAATTAACGTAATATTTTATTCATAGTATCTTCTTCTCGCTCTAATTCCTAACTTCGCTGCTGATAGTGATAATACATCACATGAGGATGAGGGTACAGAAGAAGAAGCAGCAGCAGCAGTACCGTGTGAAAGTCTGAAGTTATACGTGCATGTACGTAGTAGCAAACCAGGCTGTGTGTATATATAGATAGACTTGTGCTGTTCTCTTGAGATGGCATCCAAACCTTCCAAAATCTCAATCATCCCTCTCCCTTGGCCTTTGCAGCCAGCCAGTCTTTCCTTTTCCTTATTATAAAAAAATATCACGTGAATTGCTTAGCTGCTCTGCTTTTCCTCCAATTTCGTCCCCTGTGTTCCCATTACAACTTTATTTCCTCAGCCAATACCCGTTGCTTCAATTTGCCTGGTTTTCTTTTCTGGGTTGTTCCTGCTTCGCTACCTACATATATAGTCACATATTCTTTTCCTTCTTCTCCTTTGGTTCTGTTTAACAAATGGAGGGAGACAAGAAGCATGTCAGCGCTGGTGCTGCTTCTTCTTCGTCATTGGCGGCTGAACTTTTTGGGACCAAGGAGTCACCGCCCAGTTCTTCAGCTGGGGTTTTCGCTTCCATCTTCCCGCCTCCATCCACTGTAAGTATGACATAATTAGTTTCTTATTTTTCTTGTTACAGGGTTCACTTGTATAGTCTGTTGTGGAAAGTAGAATCCCAGGGATTTTATGGTGGATTGTATTGCTTCTTTTTGCAGGTCCTGAAGAAGTCTTCCAACTCTGCGGGGGCTGGAACTTGGCACAAGTATCAGCATCACTCTGGAAAGCATGGGACAACAGGTTCGTATAAACCAGATACCTATTGAAATCTTGTCGTTTCCATTGGGGAAGAGTACTCACACAAGCTTATAAACCATCTCTGAACAAAGCAGCAATGAATGGTGAGGCTGGAAGCTATGGCATCATGGGTCACAGCAGGGAGAGGATGGAGCCATGCCATCTGAGTTCATCGATTTACTATGGCGGCCAAGAAAACTACTCTCAGTCTCCAAGTAGCCAATCCCCTGGCTCATATCCTATCGTGAGTCTTATCCTTGAACGGTATCATTTAGCCCTTTGTAATAACGAACTCCAACACAAGTCGACTGTTTTTGTTCAGTTAAAGAAAGATGGAGAAGAGGATGATCCTAATGGAAACAATTCCACCAGTGCTTCCAGAGGGAATTGGTGGCAAGGTTTCCCCTTTTTGTTGTGCTACTCGCTTTGTTCTCAAGACATACCTTCTACCCTCTCCTTTTCATTAATGGTGTCCTGTGTTTCTGATGATTGTTTCTTCAGGTTCTCTATATTACTAGGACCCTCGACTGCTTTGCCATGCCGATTTCCCCTTCTATTTTCCAAAGGTATGTACTTTGAATCCAAACTGCCTGCTTCCTTCAGTGATTTTGCTGATAAACTGGTATATGCCAGCTTTTGCACCTGAACCATCAATCATTACTATTATTTCCCACTGTCATCTTCTTCCATGATCACACAGATGGCATCCACTGACTGTTTCATTTTCATAGCCTGCAAGTGGTGGTGGGGTGTCCTTTCAGTATTCTTAAAAAATGGGTGTCCCAGATTCACTTACTAGTGGGGTGGAATAGAAACTGATCTTAGTTTCTGTAGTAATAGGTAGGGTTCAGAAGAGCCCCCACCCACTTGAATTTTCATTCAGAAGCATGAACATCCATTGTTTTGTTGTTGATGTTGTGATTGCAGGAAATCTATGGGATATGTATGTTTGAGGTGCAAAATCAATAGTAAACTATGTGGACAAAACTATCAGCCATGGTTAAAAAAGGGACTCTTGCAAGTGGAAGAGCTGATTACGGATATGAAAAAGATATCTGCTTCCATGAAAAAGATGTACCATAAGTTGTGTGACACTCATTCTTTCTTTCCTTTCTTTTGGTCTCAAAAGGCTGCTGCTGTACATTGTTCTGCTTTTGCTAGCTTGTGAAAAGTGAAAACCTAAAACTGTAACAAACTTCTGGGCATCTCCTGCAATGTATTGTTCAAATAGTATCAAAGGTTGTATTTTGAAACTAATAGCATCCCATCCTTCGTTCCTTTCTGAGCTTCTTAAACCTTCAAACTAGTAAGGAACCATGGAGACATATCAGAAGCTCAATTTTTACCCACGATATTGACAAAGATCTTGTTCATCCCTGTTCCCAGCAGTTGAAATACAAAGGAACAACCTTTCATAAGCAGCAGTCATTTTTGTAGCTGTGAAAAGCTGTAAACCTCTCTGTCTACAAGCCTCTCCTTTCTTCTCCAAAACCTCTCTTCCATCTTCCCACACTTTGGACAGAGCCTTCTTTAGTGAAGCCACAGTGGGAGAGAATGTATAACCCATCTCTCCACCCACAATCACAGAGCCAGTGATGCTAGCCACTCGTGTAGCCATCACCGGCTTGCCAGACAGCATTGCTTCTAGCAGTGTATGATCCAGCCCCTGAGCTCGAAGCGTTGGGTTAACAAAAATATCGATTGCATTGTAGAAGCTGGCAAGCTGAACATGGTCCAATGGCCCCAAAACTATAATACTACCAGCTCCCAGATCTTTGTACCTTGCAGCCCATGGACCATCTCCAGCAACCAGAAGAATAACATCGTTCCGAAAGGCGCCATTCTCAGCTATCAGCTGCTTCAGCGCTTCAAACATCAAGGGGTGCCCTTTATCCTTCACTAATCTTCCAGCCATGCCTAATACTAATGTCTTTCTTCCCGGCACACCGAACTTCCTTTTGAATTCCATCCCTTTTACAGAATCAGGTTTGAAGATCTCCTCATCTACGCCATTCAGAATAACGTGAACTCGCTCTACTGGGATCATATAGATTCTTCTCAATACATCTCCAGCGTGATCACTGGTACCAACATGGTGAGCATAGTTTTGAAAGAACCTCACCTCATCTACAACTTTCATCACTCTTTCCGCCAGTGCATATGATTGAGGCTCCTCAGGACTTCTCAGAAGCTCTTGAATAATGTCTGTGTGAACAGTCTCATAAGCTATCCCATGCCAAGTGACGGCCAAATTGGTCAGGTTTCTGGCCCTGGTATGCAGCAGTCCCACGCTTTCCGTGTGGATCACATCAAAGGGTCTGGAAGTTGAGTTCTGAAGCTGAAGCTGCTTCCAGACTATGGCTTGGTCTAAATAGCCTGCGGATGTTGGTTGGGAGAGGTGGAAATGTAAATTGGTCATGGGATACCTGGGGAAGGAGGCATTGTTGGCGGCTGTTGGTGAGGCCGTGAAAACGTGAAGCTCGTGGCCTCTTCTGGCGAGTGCCAGATGAAGAGTGAGAGCATGGCGTTCAAGCCCTCCAGCGTGAGATCTATGAGGCCATTTCTTCACAAAGAGTGCAACTTTGAGGAGCTTTGGTGGTGGCTGTGCAGAGAAAGAGAGATGATTCCAGGCAGAAGCATGAGAGAGTAGATTTATTGCTTGGCTTTGCTTCTGCCATGGCATCTGGGTTTCAGAACTGTTACATGGACCTGAACATTGATACCAGAAGAGGAATGAGATGGATGAAATTGTGGAGAGGAGGAGAATAGTGAAGCAGAAGCAACGGAATCTGAAGATAGCCATTTGATCCTTGGCCACTGGCATGAATACTCTAATCAATGGAAATACTAATATGGAATGAAGTCAAAATCTAACAAGGGAAAACCACAATCCACCAAGAGCGAGCCAATAACGTTTGAATTACTGAGCTCTAAGGCAGATAGTTGCACATGGTTCTCAACTCTCAATTATAGGCACAAGAACCCATCAGATTTCTGCAGCAACCTGTTCAAGAACAGCTAAGGGGAAGAAAAATGGAGAGAAAGTCGAGAACCAGAAAGAAAGCAAGTGAAAGGGAGAAGCAGAGGGTTTGTGGTTAAGCAATCCATCTCATCTTGTGTTTGACTTCCCAAGATTAAAAATTGATTTTACATTGGAGCCAGCAACTAATGTAAAACTAATCCAGCAAGCCACAATAGAATAATAAAAATGGGCATGTTACAGATGCTTCAAGTTCACAACTTCTAATAATCATATGTTTAGCTTAAAGGCTAGGCAGGCTCAGTTCTTGTATCCAAGGAAGCAGCAGCTTGTAAGAGGCCATTAAAAACTTGCAATAGCACAATTTTTATTTCACCATCGGTCTACTCACAGAGGCTCGTGTAATGACCGTACATAAGGATTAAGAAATCAATTGTCTATCACTGCATTCCAGCTATGGCTTACATATTCACATGGCATGTCTAAAGCTAATATTGTAAACCAAATCCGATCAAGATTACAGGAACAAGCAAGAATGAAAGAGGGATTATCTGGCAGGCAAACCTAACGAGTGAAGGCATGAAGCAGAAGGAAAACATAGACAATGGACGCCAAGGGGACCAGAGTGACCAAAGGCGCAATTGCAGCAACAGTGTACAAACTCCCACAACTCAGAACCCCCAATTTGATCTGCACCAAGTTCACCAGCGCCAGAGTCAAGAACCCACATCCCAAAATCGAACCCAATCCCGAAATCAAAGTCCCCAGCCGCAGGGCCTTGAGATTGACATGAACCAGCGACTCATAGTAACCCGGTCCCAGCACATTATCAACAACAGCGGCGGCGAAATTGGTAGCGCTAGTAATATCAGCGGCGCTGTTGTCAGAGAGTACGATGGCCTGCTTGATTGCCAAGGCGACGAGGCTGGAGAAGAGAAAAGAGCTGAAGGCGTAGACGTGGAAGACGAGGAAGTCCTCGCCGGTGGAAGAGGCAGCGGCGCAGGATGGGTCGGTGACGAGAGATGCGGCGGAGCTGGAGATGGGCTGGGAGAGGCCGAGGAAGAGGGCTAGCGTGAAGAGCGAGTTGACGTTGACGATCCCGTCCAAGGCGGTGACGTGGATTTTGGTGGTGGCGGAGGGCGACATTTTTGCGGGGGAGGAGATGGATTTGGTTCTCCGCCCTTCCTTCATGTGGAGGGATTATGAAGGAAACATGAGGCAAAGTGTTGTGTTGGGAATATCATCAATCTGTGATCCGGCGCGGGAACTGTTTGGAGTTGCTTTGCGTTGAAGGGAGAAAGTGGTGGTGGTGGGGGAAGAAGGGCAAAGGTTTTGTGATCGGAATCGTGACCGTTGCGTGCCTTCCCTGCAAAGCATTCAAATAACCGAACTCCTACTCTCTCTACAATGGAAACTACAGTAGGGAGGGTTAATATTTTATTTTGGTCCGAATTAATTATAATCATATAATCGATTTTGGTTTGTTGTTTTAGAAATTAATATCCTGACCTCAACTATATAATACTAGCGTGGTCCCGGCCATTTGGCCGGAGGAAGATATGTATGAAATTTGATAATATAATGGGTTGTATAGCTTATTGTTGTATAGTTTTTTTGGGAAACACGTGATAAAAATAGTGAATTCTAGTAGGAAAGAGACATGAATGATGCAACGAATCAAAAATCAGCCTTATGAACCAAAATCAAGTACCTGGTACCTTGTGAAACAATAATGTTTCTGGTAATATGATGAGGTGGAGTAAGTTTTATAGAAACCAAATTCAAGAAAATCGAATTAAAAATCGCCTATCCCGCCGATTTTCGCGAAATTCGCATCTCACAATCGTTGCTAGCTTTTACTCGGCCCGTTGGCCGATTAATTTGCTTTATAAAACTTTCATCTTGTCATCATTGTGCTTTCTGGTTTTTTGCCAAGCCATGATAAAATCTAAAGAAATCAAGAATGAACAACACGATTTGAGATAGGAACCACTGTTCCTGTATCCCTAGAAAATGGTGGTAAACACGGACTCACCTGCCAAACTGGTTTGGATTGAGATTTTTATCGGGTATCAGGGAACCATGTGATTATAAATTAGACTTGATCAAAACAGGCCGAAACTTGAAATTCAGCATGTTTGACCGACCCATGCCAAACTCTAATTATTCTTTACTTTTAAACTTTCTATTTGAAAATAAAAAAATAATGAAAGAAGAGATGACTGCAATTCGCCATTTGCACATCACTGATTCGGGAATAAAACTATAGAATTTCGAAAGGAAACTGAAAATGTTTAGGATCGTTTTAATGTTATAAATAACCAAATAGATCTTTCTGTTTAGTTTTTTACTAACAAATATCAAACGATTCCCTATAATATACACTATGATTTAATCATTATGATATCAAATAATTACATAATATATATTTGAAATGATAAAAATTGGACTAATTGGGTTGGTCGAGGTTGAACCATTGTATAACTTTAAAATACATTATATTTTAGCCACTAAGATATAAAATAATAGCATAATATATATTATGCTAGAGAAAATAGCTTGTTTTAGAGTGACAAACCCATGATGTTCATTTGTTTTACTTGATGAGAAAATCCCGTGTAGGTCAGGCCCATTCAACTCTTCTATTTTATGATTAGCGGTTAGCTTATTAGAATACATGCATTAGTTTATTGTTAATTTTTTTTTTCTTTTTAGCAATAAAAAGGAGTATTGTTTTTGTTTTTTTCATATATATATTTTACCACCATGGAGAAATAAAAGGACTTAAAGAAAAAAATTGACACTCCTGGACCCGTTTAAATCCGCATGTGTATGGTAAGTTGGCCCGTTCCACAGAGGAAAAGGAAAAAAATTGACACTCCCTATTCTACCCTTCCTACAAACGCTCCTGGAGCAGGGAATTTGAAACGGGGGAAGAGTTTTTTCCTCTTTGCGATTATATGTTTTTAATTTAAAAAAATACAACAAATGTACTTAGTGTGATTGATTATGGTCTTTGCTTTTCTTTAAAGTGGTCATGGTTCGAATCCTAGTAAGTGTCTTTTTAATGAATAAAAAAAAGTAATTGTGAAGACCAAAATGTCCTTCCTACTTTCACTCTGGATGCAGGAAATTTGAAATGGGGCTTCAAGTTTTCTCATTTGGCTTTTATTTATTGTGTAGATATAGTCTTAATTTGCCCAACACATGGTTTGATCGTCAATTCGGACGGTCAACACGCCATGTCATTGCCTCGTCGGCATAAAAATCATTAAAAAATCAAATTATTTTCCTAATTTCTATTATTTTTTATTTTTTGTTAATTTGCAAATGATAAATAATATAAATTAGAAAAATAATTTGAATTTTTTAATGATTTTTAGGCTGACATGGCGTGTTGACCGTCCAAATTGACGGTCAAACCATGTGTCGGGCCAATTGAGACTATATGCTGCATAGTTGAGCCAAGGATGTTAATTTCTGAAACCACATGCCAAAGTTGATTATATGATCATAGTTCGGGCCAAAATAAAGTATTAACTCTCCGGTCCCTCGTCCGCAACACGAGACCTAAACGATCCACAATCTGCTCTCTCAACTGTAAATATAAAATAATGTTAGGATAAATAACAAATTTCCTTTATATTTGAAAAAGCAAAAGAAAATCATAACTAACTTGATGAACTAGTAGTGGCCGCTGCTGGGGTGAGTGATCTGTGGGTGCGATCTAGTATGATACCAGTCAACGTAATCCTCCTCGATCTCCGATGGGTGCTCGCAAGGCTCAGAAGAAAAATCCAAATCAAGACGATGGGCTGCCAAGTTATCCCACAACTGATTCGTGAACGAATCCCAGAAGACTGTGTAACTGCTGCCGGAAGCCAAACGGTACTGGTCATGTGGTACCATCATTGCACGGGGGATAATATGTCGGTATCCAAACTGGCGCAGACAACGTGCATGATCATATCCCTCAGCAATGTTAGAAAAGCCAAGGATCCCATTGAACAAGGAGCGCGGTATCTTCAGGTAGCCATCTCGTCCATATAGAGTCCAGGTCACATCCTCTGCTGAAAGCTCATCCAACAACTGTCGATAACGTACTTACCTCTATCTAACATCATCCCGACCTGGCAAAAGGGGAGAAATTCACGAGGAAGCAAGGGTTGCATCCGGAGACTGCGGCAGCTGGCTCGTGTGGCCACGCCCAGCTGTCTGTAGAGGTCCTTCAGAAACAAGTTGATCGCAGGAGGAAGGCGATCACGACTCTTATCCACAAAAAGTGTGGATCCCAGTAACACAAATAGGTAACACTCCACCTCCATCTCCCTAATCTTCAGCTCTCCCCCACGCACCAACAATCCCTCCGCATGCATAGAACCATTATCGTACGACTTAGACTTCCACTTATCACCAACATGAGCATCCACCGAAAGTCGAACTAGACCACCCATGTCTGACTTAAGAATATTCGGCGACGCCTCATCTCTCATAAGCTCTCCATCAACCGGACTACGAAGAATGTGATTCACATCGTGTAGAAGGATCGACATCTCTCCAAATGGCATGTGGAAGGTGCTTGTGTCCGACGGCCACCTCTCCACAAATGCCGACAGTAGAGTCATGTCTAAATGCTGCATCATGCACCCTATCAAGTTAGATAATCCTGTGGCATCAACCATCTCCTGGGAACCCTCTGCACTCCATTTATATCGCCTCAAATACTCTAGAGCTTCGGCCTATGGAAGCCGTTCAACACTCCACGGTCCTGCTCAGGGGAAGTCCACACTACAAAGCCTATGTGACCCCCAAAGCTAGGGATCACATCGGGAATCATTGATCCTCCTAAACACATCTGAGACTCCGATGTAAGAAACCACAACATATCTTTCCTCGTGGTCTTCCTCTTCCTATTTCCATCTCCGCCTTCCTCACTACTAGGTCTGGCCGCATAATGTCCATCGGGCCCACGAAAGTTTGATGAGGCAGTAGAAGATATCCCATTCTGTCCTTCCTCACTACTAGTAAGTAATTTTTCCAGGTCTCTTCTGTCCGCCCAAACAAATCCTGTCTGCACAAATGTCACGAAGTTCTTGCCACGTGAATCTCTACTCAATTTTCAACATTGTGGATTCATCGTCTTCATAATTGATACCAATGTCAGAGTTTGCCAACCGACCATTCCATCGAATAAGAAGATGAAAGTTCTTGAATTTACACATGTCTGCAATTTATAATAAATCACTATTAGTTTAAGCGGAATAAAATTAGTATGGTATAATTAGGGCTACGAAAATAATATCATTCAAAATCATAACCACTAGCTTACAATAACATGAGTACACTAAACAAATTCATCTAAATTCATAACTAACTAACATAAATCATACCATAATTAATCTAAATATCTCTAATATAACTAAACTGACACTATCAGCAATTCATTAAATACATACATCTTATTATTGACACATCAAAATCTAAACAATACAGAATTATATCATACCGAAAATTTTGAGTGTCTGTAACTGTAGTTGCTGGAAATAGGCTGAGAAGGGGATTTTTTGCAAAAATTTGAGTGGAATGGGGTAGATTTTTTAGGCAGCTAGGTGAGGGATGGATTATTTGTATGAAAACTAGATCGACAATCACCGCTGGAGACCAACACGGAGAATACATTCACCGCAGTAGTAGAATGCAGTGAATGTTAGGTTGCTGTGACCTAATTTTCACCTACCAAGGCTTGAAAAACGTGGTAAAATATCACCGCTTTCCTCAACTACGGTGATACAATCACCGTTGTCGTCCAGCGCGGTGATGTATTCACTGTTTGAATTTATCGCGATGATTGGTATGCCGTTGTCATCCAAAGCGGTGATGCATTAACCATTTTTTTTAAGCGGTAATGCATTCACCATTTTTTTTAAAGGGGTGATGCATTCACCATTTTTTTTAAAGTGGTGATGCATCCACCGTTATTGTCTTCGACGGTGATTATTTTCACTGTCTTTGACCACGACGCTGATGGAGAAACATGTGTACTTTGAGAATTTTTTTATAACTTATGTATTTTGAAATTTTTTATAAGAACCGGTGTATATTAAGATGTTTTCCAATAATTTTTAGGTCTTTTCGTTTAGATTTTTTGTTCTGCCACTATCCGTAAATGAAGATTTAACTGAAAAACGAGCAATTCAGCTCGTTCTTCTGACATTGAGCCTCTCGAAGCTGACGAATAGTTTGTCAATCCGAGAGAACAAAACACTCAGATCCAATATCCAAGGCTAATTTAGGAGATTTCACTTCTCAACTTCAATTGAAGTAGCATAAACGATTATATAAGTTTGTCCTGTCACATAATTATTCATTATTATTAACGACCACACACACGACGATAACACCATAAGCCGTCGGTCGAGCATAATTTAAAAACGACTCATTACAATGTATAAGTATTAAAAACTGGATAAATACAATATATTAGCCATAACTATTAAGTAGCGGAGAATTATAGTCACAACTATCGAATACAAATTATTAGCCATAACTATTATTGTGGGTCAAGATTTGGCTAACAGCTCGTTACTGTTTTCAAAATTTTAACGTAGAAGGCCATGTCAGCATCGTAAAAAATATGATATGATGACTGCCACGTGGGAGCCAGCTCAGCATCGTAAAAGCTTAGTCATCATTACTAACAGAAGTGTTAACGAAAACTTAACGATTGACTAATAATTTGTATTTCGATAGTTGTGGCTATAATTTCCCGCTGCTTAATAGTTATGGCTAATATATTGTATTTGCCCTTAAAAAATTACTAAACAGTAGAATTATATAATTCACAATTGTTAGATCACATGCAGGGATGACGGCCAAACTCATGGCCGCGAGTATTCGACCACCTCTGATCCAGTTAATGCGGGGAATCCATGTTTTGAATGGGTATGGTAAAGCCCGCAAAAAATTTGAATAGGTATGGAGCGGGCATCCCCCGCGTTGACTAGGTATGGGTAAAACCAGCGGGTATGATTTTGGACTCCACGACCCCATACCCAAACCCGCCCCACCAAATTTTTTTTATATGCAGAAAAGTCAAAATAGGAGAAAAATAAATGGATATTGTAAGAAATTGAAACATAAAATGGGCCAAAACAGGACAAGGTGCGACGGAAGTAGATACCCATGACTCGACCCATACAAATACAAATGAGTAATACCCGCCCATCGCGAATTAGGTCGGATAAAACCCGATAGGATGGGTTCAAATTCCCATCCCTAATTATTAACTACTACTTGAACTCTCCCCCAACCCCAAACAATAACATGCCTGGAGAGCCCATTGGAAAAATGAGCCTGGCCCATCAAGTAGGTGAACCCTGAAAGCCCAATTGGCAACGTCATTTTGCCGACTAGCAAGCTCTAGAAGATTTCGATTTCGATGTAGTATAAAGTCAGACGGTAAGAAGCCCAAACTCTGCCGAACTCCGTCAGAAAGCCAAGCAGCGCAGAAAACAGAAAGACAGAAGGAATGGCGTCTAGGGTTGCTCTGAAGGTTGGCGGCAAGGGGAAGAACAGCGGCAAGGGAGGGCGAGGCGGAGAGGGGAAATCAAGGACGGAGTGCTTGAAGGAGTGGACGGATTGGAGCCTGCACAAGGCCAAAGTCATCGCTCACTATGGCTTCATCCCTCTCATCATCGTGATCGGCATGAACTCCGATCCCAAGCCGCAGCTCTACCAGCTCCTCAGCCCTGTTTGATCTTTGATACCCTCTTCGCATCTTATGGATCATCCCATCCCAAGCTTCCTCGCCTCGCCTCGCCTCGCCTGTTAGGTTTTCGCTCTCCCTATTTGTCGAAATCGACTTTTCGTTTGAGTTTCAATTAGGGTTTTCCATAAAAGTTTTGATTCCGAACTAATTAGCAAAGAGATGGTCTGTATGTGACTGCTTTGTTTATGTAATGTTGTTTGCTCGCTCCAATGGGATGGATCCGTGCCAGTCACCCTGCAATTCGGACACTTTGTTTGTCTACTCCTGCTTGCTTTTGTTGTTTGAAGCTCAATAATACTTGTTGGCTGACAGCACCCTGCAAATCAGCCCTTTATTTGTTACTTTGTGCTAAATGGTTGAACCCTAGTAATGGATGATTACCTTTCCGTGGTGATTTTGATTTGTGGTTTGTCGAGTAGCAAAGCTGGTTGGGCCGAGAGTTGAGACTCGTTTTCTCCAGCCTATTCCGCTGCTGCTATCTATGTATATGTCAGACAACTAACTCTTTCTGGAGGCTGCCGCAATGGCAACAGCAGGTCCTCCGGCATCCCATTTGGCTATAGACAGCCGGTCAGATCTTCCGTGAACTCGGAATCCTCCTAACAAAAATTATGCCCTGTATCTCACGTCGGCCCTGAATTTCTTCCAGCGAGATCGACCCCAACTGTAGTGCTGCTATTCCTCGAGAAGGGATGTATAGTATTGTACCAAATAATGATTCACCCTTGTATTTTCCCGTGGCGGGGATCAGTTTCGTCGGCCTCGGCCATACGAACTCCGACGAGTTGGAGGATCAGGCTGCTGATGTTATTTTCCCCGGTATATCAGAGTACGGGACACTGAACTTGACAGCCTCAAGTGACCTTAGTTTCCCACCCTTGTACTATTTGTGGCAAACATCTCTTTCCACCATGGTAATGGGTCTATCGTTACTTCTCTGGTAAAAGTCACTCACCAAGAAGAGGTAAAAACTTGTAGCAAGAAAAGACGATTACAAAAAGTTTATTTCAAAAGATGTAGTGAATTCCATTATGGTATATAACAACTGTCGTAGTTTGTTTATGCAAATGAAATACAGAATCAAGATGTCAGCAAAATGATTTTTGAATGGATTAATGTTAACCAGTGGCAATGTCCATTAGTCATTTTTGAAGAAGAAAGTGCACAGTGGCAATGTGCGCATGTAACTGACAACTATTTTCAATGTCCATTAGTCATTTCTTATACCATTAGTCATTTCTGTATAAGAAAGTGCAGTGCAAAATAACTGTAACTGACCGCTATCTTGGTCCATTAGTCATTTCTGTATAAGAAAGTGCAGTGCAATCATTTCTGTATAAAAAAGTGCATGCTAAAAGAAATGGTTGGGGCGAGAGAGGCTCGAACTCTCGACCTCAGGATCACTCTTAAGCTATGAGACCTACGCGCTAACCAACTGCGCCACCACCCCTCGTTGTTGAAGGACCTCATAACTCTCTGTATATATTTTATAAAGGAATAATAGTTTTAATAAATCCAATTAACAATAATAGTTGAAGGATGTCACTTGGTATCATTAGAATTAGATTTTATCCAAAAACTCAGATGAATTTATGCATAGCTTTGTGCATAAGATGGACATGTATCCTGAGCAGCTAAGTGCATGTATAATTTGATCCGTATAAATTTTGCATATTCAAAATCTTAATCTTTGAATCCATCTAATGGGCAAATTTAATGATATTCAAATCTTTTTACTTTTCTTGTATCTCTATGCTAATTCAATTTCTAGAATTTTTGCACAGAAAAATTATATTATTTGTGATTGCAAAATAATAGCAATGTTGGTATTTATTGGGTAATCAAATTTTGGACCTTTCATCGTTGTATAAGAAG